GTTAACCAGTTTGATGGAAGTGTTTCGGATTGTGTGTGAAAACCCCACACTGTACCCCAGAAGTGCATTAATGTACATAGTTATCATTCAATAAAAAATTAAATTCAATAAGAAAAGATATTCTTAAGGGAAAAATAGGTGAGTTAATCTTATTTCATAAAGAACAGAACTGAAGCCAAGATAATTTCTGCTGAGCAAAAGGCACAGCAGGCACATAAGCAAAGAAGAAAACATCAGGAAAAATGTCTTAAATTACTAATAAGCACTGTGGTCTAATCATCTAATCATATGTGTATGCAGATCTAACTTGAACAATTTTGTTTATAATTTATACCTAACCTGCTCCCAATAAAATAATCTTTGGCTGCCAATAGAAATTATCTTCAGATAAAATTAATTTTGATGTGAATTCAGGGAATTCAAACATTTCTTTCTATACCTGCCTCTCAAATGTTATGATATAGGGTTATGAGCATAGGAATGCCCTCAAACATTAGGGTTTTTCTTTTTTGAGACTTAATAATCCATCTTTTCATGGTTTTTCTTTAGGGATTTTTAGCTCCTGGAGAAATTGATCCCCTGAATCGTAGGTTTTCTACTGTACCAAAGCCAGATGTTGTGGTTCAAGGTATGTATTCTTATTCTCAGCAACAAAAATTTTATATTAAGGGTCTGGTTATGGGCAAAAATCATTGGGCTAGTATATTATGTCTTTATTCTTCAGCTAACATTTCATTAGGCTTCAAAAAGCACATTATGAACTTGGTTTCATATCATTTCAAAATTACTATTAATCTTAAATATAAATGAGTAATATGTCAGAGGACTCCAAAATATTATCTGATATTTTAACCATTCCTTATTTCTGGAAACTCTTTTCTTTTAACTGTCATGATGTTTTGGCTTCCTGATTATCTCTGTTTTCTCTCTGACCACTCCTTATTTGCTTTTTCTGCTACTACTACTTTTTTTCCCATATGTTCTCTAATAGTTCTGTACAAGAGTCAAAGACTCTTTGTATTTATGTATTTATACCCTGTATTAGTTTGCTAGGCATATCTCCCTCATGATAAATTTGCTTCCATGCCTCCAACTATTCCTTCATTGGAGAGTTCTCCAAACATTTATTTTTGTTCTTAACAATTAAATTTAGGGACATCTACTCTATGTAAAACACTGGGTTGAGATGAATAAACATCTTAAGAACTCTAGTCCCAATAACTACAAAACATCTCTAGCATTTGTACTTTAAACCCAAAACTAACCTCTTTTGTCTCCATCCCATCCTTTCACCTTTCCCAGTAAAAGCACATCTTCCCACATTCCTTATGTCTTTCAATGATATTCCCATTATTTTAGTCTCCTAGGATAGAAGGCTTGGGATGATTTTTGAATCTCTAACATCATTATCCAATACAGTGTTGAGTCCTGCTGTGAAGCTCCTTTGAAATGGTTGCTTCCAGAGAGTTGACTTTGGAGTTGGTTCTATATGGAAAATAAGCCTGTGTGTTTTCTAAACCTTCTTAGACTTGATATACTATGTAGTCGTACAGGTAGTTTTTGCTTTATAGCAGACATTATATAAAGATCATTAATCTTTCCCTCCCATGTCACTGAGGGAGGTCATTGATTTTTGAAGCTTATGCCATCTGCCTATAATGATCTCCTGGTTGCTATTCATTGAAAACTTTGAGGCTTGGCTCACAGCTTCCTCTTCCTCCCAAAATCCTGCCGTAGAGCTAAATTTTAGGATTGGAGTAGGTGCCATCTAACTTTTAGCCTCGAAATTCTTGGTTATCTCTTTGGAAGGAAGTATGGAGAATCTTCAAAGAAGTAAAAGTAGATCTTCCATTTGATCCCATAATCCCATTACTAGATATCTACACATAAGAAGAAAAATTATTCTACCATAAGGACATTTGCAATAAAATGTTTATCACAATTCAATTCAGAATAACTAAGATGTGGAATCAAGTCAAATGCCCATCAATCCATGACTGGATTAAAAAACTATGGTATATGTTTATTACCATAGCTTTTCCATACATCATGGAATACTATTCAGCCATAAAAAAATGGAGACTTT